CCCCCCCCCCCCCACGGGATTTACATTGATAGGTGCATTATTAATAACCTTAGTAAGGCTGACCTATCTTTTTAGCCCTCAATGGTTATTAAGGGCACCCTGTACTCTCTCCATATTTATATCTTTTTTTGTATCATGTAAATCAATGTAGGGTACTGAAATAAAGTTGTTGTTCTTAGTTGCAGTCATTATTATTCGACAGAGACAGACATTACCGTATGGATAATTTTCTATTATTCCCGCCAGTATTTTGAAAAAGTTGTTGGATGGGACAGCGGTTCATTTGAGTTTTATTTGCTTGTTTGTGTAACTCGTCCTGAATGCCATTCCATCCGGGGCCATTCAAGGGATGTTACTCAGTAACATCCACTGAAGGGACCTTCTCGATTCACTAAGAGGCTTGATCGAGGGAAACATTAAAACATTATTTCCAAACAGATGCAGTATCATCTTCTTGGTTGAATCAATCGAGGGATGATCGAAAAAGCAAGACAAGACCTCGAAACAAACCGTCAGATCATCAGGCAAATGAGAGTGGACGATCGAGGCAAAAGCATACATGAGTCACAGCTAATATATACCACGAGGTGAGCGTGACGTCATACGTTTACGAAATCCGACCGAAGATAAGAGGGCCTTTCGACGGATGTTAACGAGTGCTGACCCTCGTAGTCCTGCGGCTACGGTGAGTTGTTGAGCTGTTTCGCGTAGTCGCGACTACGGAGAACATTTTGCTCGTATTTTGCTGTCTCGGTACTTCAAGAATCTCGTCTTTTCGTAAAAATGTTTTTAATTCACCTGCTTAAAAAGAAAGAGGGAAGCAAAATATGTAAGTTGCGTCTAATTTCTGCTCAGGTTTACGCTTTTAATCCACTGTTGTGACCTCATTTTTATCTAGCTAAGCGCATATTTGACAAGGTTAGCTGTTTATACGCAGAATTCCGATTGACGGCCGAGGAGAAGAGAAATCATGCAGGTAATTTACTTTCTCGTAGCACTTGAAAAGATTCAATGTTTGTTCCAACTGATTATTATGTCTTTCTACTTGTGTAACCTTGTTTATGCGAGTTTTTGTATCGCATTTGCTGAATTGAAAATGATGTAAACTTCTTCGAGACAATCGAAACTCGGCATTTCAATACTTCAGACTAAATCAGATCAGTAGTCGGAGAAGTCCATATTCTAAATCTAATAAATGAGCTATTACTATTTCTGTCTGTTTCTTTAATATTTGACATAAGAATTCATGGGCAAAACTAAAACCTGTGTAACCAAAACTTTGTTTACAATTTCACCCGACGTAATTGCTTCCTTCAAGTATGGAAGAATTTGTTCATTGTTCTAAAGATAAGATCACATGCAAAACTGACTTGCATTTTTGTGAACTGTGATGAAAACAAGAAAATCTTTGCTTGTTGTTTCCCTCTCCGCCACTTCTCTCGTAGTCTACTGTCTGTAGTGCAATCTTAACATTCTATATTTGCACGACTCAACCCAGTGCTACGAACAAAGAACAACGCTCGTCCAGCCGTAGTTCGTAGTCCGTAGTCGCCGTATCTTAAACTCCCTAATAGCTGTCGTGTACGAACTCACGGAAAGAACTCAGGAGAAACTGTTCGCCGATTGGGCACAATAATACAAAGCATTTTTGTGCCCAATCAGGAGCCGGCATCCGCTTTAATTTTTGGAAATGGTCCGGTGAGAGTCGGTACCCAGGGGCTCTTTCGCCCAAACTTGAAAACTTTCGTCCCGCCTTTTCTCCCGAGCCGACTGACTGCCCCTGGGTGTCCGAGGATGGAATTTTTGGAAATGGTCCGGTGAGAGTCGGTACCCAGTGGCTCTTCCACCCGTACTTGAAAACTTTCGTCCTGCCTTTTCTCCCGAACCGACTGACTGCCCCTGGGTCTCCGAGGATGGTGGGTAGTGGGACAAGAATTTCATGGAAATTTTCAGGTCAATGTTTCATGGTTTTTTGCCTTTTTCTCCCGTGTCCTTGACTGAATTGTGCTCATTCTGGCATGGTTTGAAAGATCTCTTCACTCTGCACAGGTTATGGGACAAAGTTGTCTTTGGCCGTTAAAACTGATGACGTCACAAGCGGTAGAAAGGACGTGGATCCGCACAGGCGGTTACGGGCGGCTCTCGGGGAGGATGGGTTAAATTAATTAATATTGTACAACTGATGTACTATTCATAGAATGGAGTAAGATACAAATATCGGTGGTAGGGACACCCTCCTAACCATGCCAACTTTGCTTTGGGTGCTTCTCATAGAAAGAAAGACCCGCTAAAATTGACTCGGCTGAAAAGCACTTCAACAACTGTGGTAACTAGCTCGTTTTGAACGTTTTCAACATTTTGCCTTGATATTATTTTCTCGCCTTTTCAGTAGGTGCCTCACAATGGAGCACGGCTTGGAAATAACAGAGGATACTCTCTATGGTCTAAGGCTCATTAAACTTCTCTTTAATGGCGGAACAGAGAGGTTAAGAAATTTTTTTGATAGCTGTGTGCCAAAACTGCAGCAATTTCTTAAAGTCAAAGAGGCTGACATAAAAAAGCTCATTCAAAGAAAAATCATTAACAAGTCACAGAAGGACAAATTGTACCCGCCCGTTGGATCTCCTTCGTCCAAGAATTTCGATATCTCTCTACTTTACAATTTACTTCGAAATGTTTGTGGGCTGCCGCCTCCCGCTGCTGGCTGGGGTATCAAGCCTGCCCCTACGGATCACACAGTTCAAGGCGCTGTAGAAATGATTCACTGGTATCGCAACAAGTACAGTCATCACTCAGTGATCGAAGTTAATAAAACTTCGTTCGAGGACTCATGGAAAGAAATTTCTGAAGCGATGGAACGACTTGGTGAAGATGCATCTCGGATTGCAAGCCTTAAAGTTGCGTCACTGCTGACCGGAAACTGCATAGAAAGGCTTGCGAAGTTTGATTTCTCCACCGAAGTCGAGTGTTATTCGTCAAAACATCATCGTGGAACCCGCGAGTGGGTTTTCCGTCACGTGGACTCGTGGTTTCTCGATCGGGGTTCAGATTCGCGTGTTTTAATTGTCGCTGGAAATGCTGGCATGGGAAAGTCAGTTATTGCAGCAAAGTTGTGCAAGAAAATGAAGGACCAGGGACTTCTTGGTGGTATACACTTTTGCCAGCATAATAACCAGAGAAGACGGAAACCAGAGCTGATGCTTCAGTCACTTGCAAAGCATTTGTGTGATTCACTTCCAGGATTCAAAGAAATTTTAACCGGTAGGATTTTTATTTTAAAAGTAGTTACGATATATAATTATGTAATGAAGGCTTCAAGAATAAGGATGCTAAGAGAGCTGCAAACAGTGAGATTCCTAAAACACAAAGGAGGAAAAATGACGAAATATTTTCCCAGTATTACTTATTTGTTTTGCATTTAGAAAAGAGCAAAGGGGTATGGTCAAAGAAGATGCAGCTGTGCTTCCCTCCTCTTACCCACAGGTTACTGATGATCGTGAATTTACCATGACCACTTGTTATGTGGCTACTTGGTCAAGAACCTTATAAAATATAATGTGGGTATAACAAAGGAATAGAAGATAAGGCAAATAAGTGTTAAATGTGATCAGTAGCTGAGGGGATCGCATTTATTATTTATTTCCTACAACCCAAGCTCGTATGTCGCGATATTCATATATTCATTTTCCTTTACTCACCATCCCCAGGTCTATTATGAAATTATAATTGACGTTGGCCGTGTAATCTCAGTATTAGCGTTTCTTTCTGGTCATCGCGATGATCAGAGTTCGAGACCTTATCAGGTCGGATGTTTATTTTCATTTTCTTTTTCATTGTCAATTGCTACTGACAGCAGGTTAAACAAAACTGCGATGATCGCATTGACGTTTTGTGATTAATTTTTACCAGTAAAACCCAGTGTTCAAGGTCAGTGTATTAAAGGATCTTTCTTGTGGAAAGTGAAAATCATCAAAGGCGAAAGTAGTTAAGCTTACTGTTGGAATCGCTTAACTCAACAATTGTATGATTAATGTAGCTGGAATGATACTTATATATTCATTTCCTCCCGTTGTGTTTAACTTTTTAGTCTTTGTAAAAATTCACGTGATAAGTTATACTTAGTATTCAGAAGTGAGACATTGTCTTTTATTAATAGGTCAGCTGGCCTCCGTAAGTGCTAACGAACTAGCGAGTATGAACATAGAAGAGCTGTTTACCCATCTCCTTCAGGAGCCAACAAACATCATCGAGGACCCAGGTATGAATTTCCTGTTGTTGGTCGATGCTTTAGATGAATGCGAGTACGATGGAAGGAACAGACTGTTAGACGTTATCATGTCGCAGTTTCACAAGCTGCCAACTTGGATAAAGTTTCTCGTGACAGGCCGACCAGAAAACCGGATGGCCAAAAAGCTTGAGCATTTAAATCCCCTCGTCCTTGACGCTCAGGACGAAAACAATCAGAAAGACATTGAGATGTTTTTCGAGGATAGTTTAAGGGATATCTTACCAAGCTGTGACGTGAAGGAAAATGTTCATCGCTTTGTCAATCAAGCCGAAGGGCTCATGCTTTACGCGCACTATTTTGTCCAATTTGTCAAAGAAAATAAAGAAACTGTGAAGCCTGAGGATCTCCGCGACATCTTCCCTCGTGGAATTGCATCCGTTTATGACCAGTACTTTGGTCGCCTACAGTTGAATCTCGGTGTCGAGAATGGGCCTTTCTGCGACTTTCTAGCTTCAATCGCTGCAGCGCGGTCTCCGTTGCCCGTCACGGTTGCTTCCAGAATACTAGGATTCTGCCGCGACACTGTAGATGGTAATTCAGGTCAGATTCAAAAGATCTCTGGATCTATCTCAACCCCACTGCCCATTCGAAACGAGTGCATTGATGTTTTTCACAAGTCGATCATTGAATGGTTTTCTATCCCTGAATTATATGGAAACCACAGATTCATAGTTGACGTGAATCGAGGCAACGCCATTCTTTCTAGTGAATGTATGAAGATCTACCAGGCCATTCAGAATCGTCATAATGTCGTTGCTGAGAAAACTACGGAAGAAAACTATGCTCTGCAACATGGAACTTACCACTCTGCTGCCTATGCATGCGTGGAAGTAAGTGAAAGGCAAAGAAATGAACTCTTTCGCCATGCGTGCAGCCTAGAGCTCCTGTATGCCAAGTTACAGAGCAAAGTTTGTGATGTCTTTTCGATCATCGAAGAGCTTCAGTGGATCAAGTCAGTTTTGAATTTGCCAAATGTCGACTCTATGGAACTGGATGACTGCATAAATTGCTTGAAGTGACATCCTTACGTTCTGGTGGAGAACCCTGAAATGATTTTTCAGTTTTTGGTAAACGAGGCCGAAACAACCGCAATGAGTCTTGAGGCTTGTGCTGTAATGCATCAACCCCCATTTGAGATTCCTCTTCGGGTGGAGGTGGTTAACAGAGCCCAGTTGAAGAATCCAGTAACTTCTAAATTTCGTTGTAAGACCTACGTGAATTGCTGTGACGTTTTGAAAGATTGCGAACACTTACTTCTGGTCTGTGGATGTAAAGGGGGCTTCATTCACATGTTTTCCTTGGAGACAGGAAGGGAACTATGGTCCTACCAAAGTGATGACGTTGAGGTATGGCCAGAGGAGGAACGTTGCAGCTACTGTGTATTTATCCCCCATCATGGCGCAATCATCTATGGTCGATTTGATAGTGCTGTGACATTTAAAGGCGAGTCCATGCAGCTGTTTCCGGACAACAGTCACTCTTTCATCGATTCATGTGTTTCACAAGACAGGAAAAAGTTGGTGACTCGACAGACACATTTGACTGCCGCCCTTTTTGTATGGGAACTTGACACAGGAAACATGCTGGCCCGTTTGGAGCAAGCAACTGCCAGCATCACCTGCTGCACAATCTCATCCTGTGGAAACTTTGTCATTTCAGGTAGCTTTGACCAAGGCGTCTCCCTTTGGGACATAAATGAAGCACCTAACTACCGATGTCAGCACAATTCATTTGACGGCGAACAACCTTTTATAATTGACTGTCTGGCGAGTTTGGAAGGAAGTTCCCAGCATGTTATTGTAAACTCTTCAAAGAAGCAGTCGTTAACGGTGTGTGAGATAAACACATCCACGTGCAAGGCCTCGAAGACAACGCTCTTACACCTGGGGTCGACTCACAAAAGCCTTGGGGTATCAAGCAGTGGATGCCTATTGTATGTATGCGGTGATTCCCAGCGTATCAGCTGTGATAATGTACCATTTCAGGTTCGCGTTGTTCCAATTTCCAGTGCGACGAAGTGGGAATATCTTAAAGAGGTGGACTTGGAAAGGGTTCTTCTACGGGACTGTGAGACTGTCTATATGTGCCAGTCCTTAGAGAAGGCAGAGTCTGCTGTTGTGACTGACAGAGGTGTGCAAGCCATTTCCTTTTCAGTGGATGGGAAACATGTTTACGTTCTGTCCATGGTAGGAATGAGCATGTACGAAGCTTCAAGTGGTCGTTTTCTACGGAACAACACGAACGTTTGCCAAGCAAATTTCTTTGCTCTGTCACCCAATGGAGAATTCATTCTGATTCAAACCAAAGATGCCTTTGAAATATACAATTGCAAGCTTGAGTATCAGTGGTCTCTATTGTTTCATCCAGTTGTACACCCCTTTTTCTTCAAATTCATTGACGATGACAGAGTTTTGTTCTTGTTTAAAAGGGGAGACATTCAAGTGTGGAACATCGCTGAGAGTAAGTTATTTGTTGAAAAGCTGAACTCGAATAACTCCTTGGTTGAATGTTGCGACGTCTTTACCTTGGAAAAGAGTGCAGGTGACATAAGCACTTGGCATTATCGACTTCTCTTCTGTGATCGTCATGGTAGCTTAAGTTTGCATGACACGTTCAAGAGCCGCACTTTTACACAGAAGGTTCCTAATGACCAAATTGTCAAGTGCTGCAAGTTTTCACCAGATGGCCGCTCTGTAGTGACAGGCCACATTGATGGCACATTACGGATTTGGGAAGGTAGCCTTTTTGAAATAAAGAAGATTTTGCCTCCTGGAGATGGAATGATCAGAGGGTGTGGTTTCTTAGTCCAAGATCTTGGAGACGTCGTTGTGGGCGTGCACGAGTCTGGTGGTTTTAAGGTATGGGATGTGTTTCGGAATCGTGTGCTTAGATGTATGAGCTTTGAGGGCAAACTTCGTGGACTCGTTACTTCTCCGTTGAATGCGCAGGTCTGTGTTGCTCTTGAGGACAAAATTGTCATTCTAAATGTTCACAGACCTGAGATTGATTAAATGAACACATTAAACTCTTGAGCCTCTTTAGGCGCTGAAAGCTTTTCTTGCTTGAGAAACTTAAAGGAGACTCTCCTGTCGACAGCTTTATAGAAACCAGAGGCATCGAAAACGCAAGAGACATGTAAATCATTTTGCTTTCAGACCTAGTCTTCTTTTATTATACCAAGTTTTTACATAGTTTATTATTCATAATTAGTAATGGGAACAGGACTGAGTGGAGTCCAATTCGGTCTGTAATCATACGAGTGATTAACAAAATCGGACGACCGCGTAGCGGGAGTCCGATTTGTTTAATCACGAGTATGATTACAGACCGAATTGGAC